GGGAGGAGCCTATCCCAGCTGTCTCAGGGTGGGAGGCGGGGCACACCGTGGCCAGGTCGCAGGTCTGTCACAGGGATAACATCCGTCCCGTTTTGGCTGCAGCAGGTCTCCTTTCTAGAAATCTGGCCAAATTTATTAAACCCTCCAAAACGTGACGATCCAGAGTTGCAGTCTTACACGCCTCTCTGCAGCTTCTCTGCAGCTTCTCTGCAGCTTCTCTGCAGCTTCTCTGCAGCCCCATCAGAAAACATCATCTACAGCTACTCTCAGTACCATTGATATTTATTTAGTCTTCATCTCCAGTTCAGATCTTTCTGAGTAAACTTCCTCCAAACCATCAACGTGTCTTTTAGACTCCATCAGAAGACATAGCATACATTTTCACAGCTATGCTGATGACACCCAGCTCTATCTGTCCATGAAGCCAGATAACACACACCAATGAGTTAAACTGCAGAAATGTCTTAAAGACATAAAGACCTGGATGGCCGCTAACTTTGTGCTGATGCCCGTTTCTGAATGATCACACCACCAAGCTTCTTAGTGATGGTCTTGTTGCCCAACACAGCTGTGCAGGTCTATGATGAGCTCTTTGGTCTTACCCATGGTGGACAGGTGTGCTTTATACTAGAGTTGGATGTCTCGACGGACTTTGGTCTCGGTCTTGCTGTCTCAGATCGACATAGTGGTCGGGAGATTTCCCTTCGCTGCTCAGCTCTCACACAGTGGCTCAGCTATGCTTCCATATTGTGGCCAATCACATGCGAGGATATAGGATAGCATCATTATGTGAAAAACAGAGAGGGTGAGAGATGCGACAGTCAAGTGGAGCATCCCTCTGTCCTCTCAGTAAGTGAGTGAGACAGTAGACAGCGGTGAGGACGGCTGTGTGAAAGCAAAAACACATATATATGCCCGACACCCGTAAACGAAGCAGCATCTGGCTGCAGCGGTCTGTGTTGGTCTGTTTTGGTCTCGTCTTGGTCTCAATACCTGGTCTTGGTATTGTCTTGGTTTAGGCGGTCTTGACTCCAAGTCTACTTTATACAGATAAGGTGCTGGAATCAGGGGTATCTGTAATAGACCGATTATAATCTGTGTGGCTGGTTGTAAAGGATCAAATACACCAAGTTGTTGCTTTGCTCCGTTCACACCTCTGCAGGGCTGACATGCTTCTTCTGCCTGCTGATTCCTCACCTTCATAACGTTCTGAAGGAAGTTGGAAAAACTTGACTAATTTAACAGTTTTTAGTTCTGTTCAGTTTCAGTGGGATTGCTGCAGTGTTACCCTCCAGCTTCCCATTGGACCGTTTATAATC